TTTCCTCGGTGAAAATGTTGAAGGAGGCCATCATTTTTAACATGTTTCCAATTTTTGCTATTATGTACCTTTATAACTAAGCCTTATATTAAAATTCTACTAAAACAAACTCTACCTAAAATTAACTGAAGAATGTAGTTTCATTAATTTTTATTTCCACAAGGCTTAGTTTTCAAAATAAAAATCTTTATTTTCAACTGCTTATAATTCGAAAATTATTGGTGTCTCTAAATTTTCGCTGAGGAAAAATCGTCTCCGAATGACACGAGGAATCTGCCTTTAAAAACTTTTCCGCCAGTTCTGAAACACCCTCTATATAAATCATCGAAATAAACGGAACAATGAAATATTGTCCTATCGTGGAATTTTTCTGAAAAGAATATATGACACGTCTTTGGAACAGATTACATGTAATTAACATCCAGTTAGGAGTATATATTCAGTTAGTCTGACAGTTTGTATAATTAACTTCGCAGCTCAAGACGTTCACGATCAGAACGAAGTAACTCGATATATATATATAATCGGGCGAGCGCGACGATTAGTTTAGATGGGAACGCCAGCTATCCGTCGCGGATTCACGTTGACGTAGTTGGGGAAACTAATCAGCCAGCCAACGCGTATATGTACACCGGTCGACCTTAATCCGTCAGAATCGGTTCGCCAAGAAGGAGACATGCTATCCGATAGCTACCGATATTGCCGCCACGTTGACGCATTTCCATTCGCTGGAAATTCTCACGGGTCGTGTAACGCAATCAGATGGTTGGCAGGTACTCCCACGTGGTCGCGACCTACCTACCCGCCTGCACAACAGGTTGTCTATTTACCTTCCTAGGCTCGACGTTTTTTATTATTAATCCTTGGGGCTTTTTATCCCTTTGACCCTCCTAACTAGAAACAAGGGTGGAGATCATTATTCTTGTAATTAAGTAATGAACTGTGAGCATGAATATATTGACAAAGATTTTAAAATCTCGACAAAATTCCTCTCTACCTAGATTTAATGAAATAAAATTTAATTTTTCATAAATTTCTTAATAGTATATGGAATTAATAATTTTCTTTCACAAATTCTCTATGTAGAGAACGTAATATCTTCTTTGACAAAATGCAACAAAAGTTGAGAAAATGTAATAAGAATTGTGAAAATGTCACATTCTGCTAATATTGTCTTTCACCTTAAAATAAGTATTTTTTATTTTTCAATATCGATTATCAATATCCTTTATGTCGTTCAGAAATTTATTTCAAGTTTATTCTACTTCATTAAAATATTCAGAAGAATATGTATATATTTTAGAAAATATATCCTATATTAAAACTTGTACATTTTAAAAGCCACAACGATATGTCAAATCAAATTAAAACAGCTTCAAAATTTATATTAAAAGTTTAATATAGATTATCATATATGTTGTTATAAATTATTTGTCCAAGTTATATTGTCGTATAAAGCTGTTAAATTTTGCGATCTAAACTTGTATGATTTCCCTAATACTGAATTGAGAAGTGTTTTCCTCAAACAGCTAAAATTTGCGTAGTAAGGGCAGTACAATAGAACATTTGGTATTAAGCTCGCATAATCGTAATTGATATTCGCTGACAGATGCGGAAGGTTTGGTGGTCCGTAAAATGGAAGGAAGGAGAGAAGAAGAGGCACGTCTCCCGCGGATTAGTAAATAATTTATTTCAGGAAGTAATTTAACTTTTCTAATTGATCGTCTGCTCGGTCGAGAGTTTCGCGAAAAGGGCGAGGCGTAGCGTGCAGACAGAAGGGTGAATGGAGGAATGTAGCCAGTTTCAGGATGAAATATCCTCGACGAAGCGCACTTTGTGCAGCGGACTAGCGAGATGAATTTCTCGGCGCGGCTGGTTGGATCCGAGAGATTTCCAGTTTCCACGTAATTCGAAGAATTTCGAGATATAACGAGATCAATGATGATCACGCATCTATGAACGCGATGTAGTGTGCGTGTGTGTGTGTGAGTGTGTGTGTGTGTGTGTGTGTATGGATGTGCGTGTGTGTGTTTGTATGTATGAGTGCATGTACATGTGCTATTTTTAGCAATCGATCCAATATTCATGACATGAACATCGACAAATGACTTTATACTGACGCATTGATTATCGAAAAATGTGAGATATTCCTTTCGAAAAATAAACAATGAAAACGTTAAACATTCAGGGTATGATATGCAAATAAATCGTCGAAATATTTATTCAGATATTGTTGAAAGTTTATGTGATTAAAACTTAAACATCGCTTATCTCTACGGAATACCGATATTATTTCGCAATGATGTTTACTATCAATATATTTAACTGCTAATCGGACAATCGATAATTTATATATACATATATATACAATTATGCAAATATTGTGCAAATAATGTTATTTTACCCATAATATTACAGCATTTTGGCACTTAACAGGACAACGCTCCATATTAATTCGATATATGTATATTGTAAACAATCGTGGTTCATCGCTCCGCAAAATTTATTTATTATAAGGAAGTTTAAGGAAGATTTGGTTGAAAATCGTTTTTAACGATAACGCGTGTTATTTAAAAACTTGTTGAAAGTGAGAACGGAAAAAGTCCCAGTCAATGAACAAGAGAAGCCGAGAAGTACTTCACCACGTTCTTGGGAATTGTTGTTCGGAAAGATATTTGCTCCAGTAGAGAAGAACGTAAGAAACATTCGAAAAGAAAGGCCCTGAAGATATGGCAACCTAGAGGAAGACACTCGAGATCGATCCCTTCGATTCTTCAAGGGAAAAAATTTAGGAAGAGTGTCATGAAGCGTATACGAGAGTTTTGCTACTATTATAGTTGCTGTGTATCAAAGATTTCTTTGCAATGAAATCTTCCAATTTTTACTATTTTCGTTATACTCTTTCTACGATTGCAATTAATCATTACAAATACATTAAATTTAAATTTAATTTTTCGATATTTTTCTCGTAAAATATTTATCAAAATTTATTTTTGGATACTATCGCAAAAATCTGTCATTAATAATATATAATCAGAAAAAATAATAATCCTATAAAAATTTTGAAAAATAAATCAAAAATGTATAAGTGATCTTTGGTACATGCTTTGTTAATAGACCCTGGTATTTAACTAAAATTACGCGGGACGTGTTCTCGCGTCGGATTTCTGCGCAGAGAAAAATCATGCATATAGAATCTTTTCTTTCTAGTCTCTTGGTAAAAGTTTCCAGGTTCAAGATAACCGTCTCGAGTCTCGTGGCGAGTTACGGTTCGCTCCCAAAGGTGAAATTGGAAAAAGTTTTTCCGTTTGTGTGGATGCCTCTGCGGGTGGTATCAATCTCGCGGACTTTCGGTATCTCAAGTGTGTTGAAATGTTCATGTCGCGATGTACATATATATAGTGTTCGAGATGAACTTTCAAAGATTTTGTATTTTAATACTAGAGTCGATTGGAGAGAAGCCAAAGAAACCACCGACGAGTGACTTTCTTTTATCAGTATTATTAAAACGCATTTGAATCGCGTTAGATATATGTTGTTTTAAAAACACTCTATTTGGAATTCTTTTTTACGAATAGAAAATTTGCGTCCAGGGAAAACACGGATTTCATACACACACTGGAAGCACAAAATCTAATTGGAGTTTCATGAAGGGCTAATTTCTCTAATGGAAAGCCAGGTCGAAAACTCTCTCAACAATATTATTATTTATTCTTGCTCTCGTATCCTCTTGTTGAAATTTTATATATAGAGTGTTCGTGTACTCTAGAATGATCACATTTTTTTCGAGCTGTACTGTAGATACGTACAGAATATTCTGTGTATGTATTATAAAATCATAGATTTTTCTACTGAATAATATGTCAAGAAGATCGTCAAAGAAAAAGATTGCGAATTAAAAAGACGTCGATTAGTTGTACTTTATTTTGGGTCACGCTTTGTGCTTTAAAATGAACGCGTCGCATATTTAAATATACGAATAACGAGAATATAAAAAGACATTTAAAGAGCGACGGAAGAGCTGCGACTATTTCATCGGACGTTGATTAACAACGACGGACGGACTGCTTTGTTTATTTCTCTATTTCGGTTCAGAAAATATTTCTCGTCCTTTGTTCCGCGAAGAATGATCTGTATGAGTGGCCTAATTAGCACATGGTGTTTAAGAGACAAAGGAAAGAAAAAGAAACCAGCTCGTTTCTGCGCGACGTTTCTTTTAAGCTGTAAATCTCTTGTAAAGTACATCGAAGGTGCATCATTTAATTATGACTTTTTACACAATAGAGACAATGCCTTTTATACGAATATAGTTTTCACTTTAATTGCAAAAAAGAAAACAGTCAGTTCTTGTGTATCGACCGTCAAATTTTTTTTTAAACTTTTATTCATTTTAGTATACACGTATATACGAGTATTTAAATTTAATCCTTTCTTTCTACATTTACTCTCATTTTTATATTTTTTATGTATACAATTTCTTGTTATATATATTTTTGAATTTGTTCATTTTTTCTATACTTGATATCTTTCTTTTACTTTTCATATTCTTCGAAATTATAAAATAAATTATTCTTTATAATATGCAAACATTTTCCCAGATAGGTAAATTAATTTTTAATTAATTTATGATCCAGATTTTATTGGATGCTCGAAATTTGAAAGCTGTACTATTTTAGAGATTTATAAATTTGCAAATAATAAAAATATAGATTTATATTTTCCAATTATTTCTGAAATAAAAAAATAATTGTTCAAAGTAAGAATGTTTGCTTTTCTGCTCGAAGCGTGAGTCGAGAATCTTGTTGGCATTCTGGGTCTTAGTAAATTCAAGAAAGGGAAGGGAAGGGAGAGTATCGACCCTTTATGGACCCTTCAAGACTGGGTCTAAACGACTGTTAGTTTTGAATACAACCGATAGATGTCGAACTAGTCAAAATGTTTCTCGTAAGTAAAATTCAGTATTTGTAGTATATAAGAAGCGTTGTAGGTTTCGTTGTATGACACTCTGATTTCTCTTCAAAATGCGAATAAATCTTTCGCCTTTTACTAAAGATTTCCGTGGAGGGAAATAACTCTATGAGTCTTTAAACAATTTTTTTGTATTACCCAGCATAAGCTGGGTCATAAATCAATCGAAAATTAATTTATCTAAGGGAGTATTTCATATAAATTTAAAAGTATGTAAAATGTTCTCGTAAAAGGAGAGAAGCACCTTAGACAATTTCGAGATTTTCCGATGTATTTTCGCATTTATTTCCTGCATATTGATATGATCGATGTAAGTTTGAAGATAGACCCACACCCGATCTCATCCTCGCGGTTGCTTATGCTGAATCTTTATTGAAGCTGAAAAGATAGAGAAGAAGTATGAGCTCTACAACGAGAGGATCCATTTCGTCTGATGCTGATTCATAGCGGTTAGACGTGTTCTGCATTATTCAGAGAGCGCACCTGACCGTATAACGTCGTGCGGCTTTAAATATGGTTGCACCACTTTTGACTGTCAAAGCGGATAATGTGGCGCGTCATATACTTTTCTCTCCGCTGCATCGATGGCTAGCGAAATCGAATAAAGGAGATGCAGCATAGGATTTATGCGAAAAAACAAGGCAAATTTATAGCCAGTATATTTCACTATTTACATATCTGACTTGTTTCTGTTTTCATTGAAATACGACGCGGGCTCTTAGTGAAATCGTTATAATTTATGGTTATGCAATCCTATAAGTTATCTTCTATAATATTAATTTTAGAATTTCGTGATATTACTCGCGTCTAATGAAATCAAAGAAATAAAGAAGAATGAAACAAAAACGCATATCTCTTTATTAGATTTAAATGTGAAAATAATTTTACTAATCTATTAAAATAATAACGCGAATTATAATTTGTTTAAATTATTGGGAGGAACGTAACGCGTATTTTTTTTCTCAATTCTCACGAAAAAAAATTGATTTTTAAAGAAGGTAAACTTATGCGCTCTGATCAACAAATAATATTTGCATTAACGTATTGCATTTTGACGAATGAAAAAATGATTACAATAAAAGAAAGATTATTTAAATTAATGAAGAATTTTTCTGCGAGAAACCTACGACAAACTCACGATAAAAGCAAACGAGGGCATCTTCGTTTAAATTCGGTTGCAGAGTTCATTTTTGTGAACGAGTGTGAAAACGACTATACCCACGGTCATCCAATATATTGAATGTAACCCCTATTTCGACTGACCATTTCCGGTCTTTGCACGCTGCAGTTCATGCAGAATACGACGTATTTTTTTTTCTCGTTGCCTCCGATTGTGTTGATACATTTTGTATGTATATATATCTCTCTATATATTCGCTCGCTTTGTGGAGCTACGGCAGCAATACGTGATTTTCTCGGATTTTCTCTACGCATGTTTGTCAACGTTCTATTATTTCGCAAATTGTCGACGTGCAGAATACGTTTCATACCATTGACATAGTATATTTTTGCAAAAGATGTATATTGTTTTGTCTTTTGTCTCGTATAAATAGGAGACGCACGTCCCATTATTGTTAATTCTTTAAACAATTGTCAACAAATATCGCATAAAAAATATTTCAAATGTTTCGTTGCACGGAGGATGCAAAAAAAAAATATTCTTGTCGGACAAGACCGATAAAGGAATAACTATCGTATTTGATAAATTTACGGGCGAATAATTCCGAAACTATTTGAAATATTGAAGGTAATGTTGAAAAAATATTTGATCAAAACAATTTTTTACATTTTGCATAAATATTTAAAGGTACGTATATAGATACGTGTGTATAAGTATGCGTGTTATGTGTGATATGTATGATTGCTATATCTAGTAATTAACTGTTTGTAGAAATTTATATACATATAAAAATGTCACATTTAATTATGCAAACATATATGGAAATCATTGTAACTTTCAGCTTGAAAAAAGTTATTGCCAAAACTGCAGTTAGAACTCTTGAAAAGATTACGAGATTGTATATACGTATCGAGATTTTATGTATATTAATTATTGAACTTTTTTACTAATGTTTTCGCTGATTAAATTCCAAATAACGACCGTCTCTAAAAGATGATAAAATTTGTCGATGCGGCAGCATTTGAAATGAGAAGAAAAATAAATACGCAAGTCATCACATTATATATCAATGCGATTTTTCACTGCCGCTTATGCCCAAACGAGTGATCTGATTCTTTCAAGTACTTCGTGATGAATGGCGAATTCGTAAGATTGCACGTAGAGATTGCGGATGCTGAGCACGACGAGGCTAGCTCGTCCATTCTTCTCGAGGACAACGCGGCTTCTTCCATTTCGCTCTTTCTCGCCGCTTTTTTTTCCTCTTTAGGCTCCGAAGCGACACCGTAAGAACCATCTGTCTCGTTTGTTTCAGGTTCTACCACCTTGGAAAGCTGCCAAGTCCGGAAGTATATCCTTCAAAATTCGTACGAACGAACCCCACGGACTGATCATGTATAGTCGCAGCGGAGCGCACACGAGAGTATGTATTTTTAATTTATGCCTCCTTCTAATTACGACATCGACAGTCGCCGTGACAATCAAGTCAAATAAAACAAAGTTTTTTTTAAAACTATTTAAATTTAAGAATAACTTTTTGCGCGTAAAAAAAAGGATAATCTGGAAGGGCTTTAGAAACAATAAAATCGAATGCGGCTGTCAAAGCGCGATTACGCGTCTGTACAATTATTGGCTGCTGAAAACGTTTTTCGAAATAACAAGCCGCTTTTGTTCCAAAACTCATCCTGGCCGCGGTTGCACACTCGAGTGACAGTAATTTAATTATCGATGCACAATTCCATCCTGCTATGACACTCTGACGATCGATGAGTTCTAGTGGTCAGCGACCTTCGCGCCTGAATTTTATGATTTAGTATTTTCAGACATTCTCGTATTATTTATACAAGTATTTTTCAATATGTATTTTTATAATAAATTGTATAATTGTTAAATAAAAAAATATACAAGTCACGAAATTTTTAAAAATTAGAAATTTTCTTCAATTAAACTAATGAAAATAAAGCGACGCGAGAAATAATTTTAACATTGAAGTTAAATAAAATATTTCTTTGTGTTATCATAAAAAAAGAAATGCATATTTTTTGATTGATGCACTAAAATTAAATAAGATTCAAATAATATAATGTAATTATTGTTATTTTAAATTATATATATTTTTTAATAATTATAATCTTTGTTATATAAATGCAAAGAATTGTATGAGTTTCTATTTAAAAGTTTTTGCCGAATTTACCAAATTATAAATATTGTTTACCAAAGTTAAATCTCTTTTAATAGTTGATAAACCGGAATTGTCACAATATATCTTCATTATTCGTAATCCTATTAATAACAATGATACGCTGACATACGATAATATATCTTCATCTATCTACCTATAGCAACAGAAATTTAATATATTGCGACAATGAACTTTTCTTTATTTTATATATAGATAAAAAGTATAAGTCTCTTTATACTTGTTAGCTATAATTCGTTAAATATATAAACAAACTTGCTAATATATGATATTTTTTTAATATATAAGATATAATTCCACAAATTATTAAATAGAAAGCCTAATAAAAAAAATTGATAGATATTAAAAATCATATAAGCGCGTATGTGGAAACAGTTCGTTTTATATTACTAGTAATATAGAGTAATATAACGTAGTATATAAGTGGACGGTTTATTTTTCTATTTATTACAGCAAGATCTATTTGCCTTCGAAATTATTGGCGGACATCTTTATCTACACGCCGATCTTGGAAGTGGCCCCGTTAAAGTAAGATCATCAAAAACACGTATCGATGATGGTACTTGGCACGACGTTGCCCTAAGAAGAGTCGAGAGGGATGGTCGAGTTACTGTTGACGGTTATACAGCCGATTTTCGTACGCCAGGTAATGTAACATTTTTTTGCCAATATTATTTTTCTTCAAAGTGCATTACTAATATTATGTAATTTGACCAAAATAATTTTCCTAATTTCGCCTAATTTGTATTAAGAACTGATTAATGGACTATTATGACAAAATTTATTTATTATAGTTCTATATGTATTTAATATAATCCCGAATAAAATAATTTATTATTTATACACGTACCTACATATATATAATTGACAGATACAATTATATATAAAATAGAAATAGAAAAAGAGATATATAAATTTGAAGCATATACATATATCATAATTTCGTAATGTAATTTCATATTCTGAAGGGAGGGAGTTTCTCATATTCATATTTTCATTTATACTCAGTCTTTCATGTATTTTAAAACTGTATATATCTGTTTTTTATATATCTGTGAAAGAAAAATTTTATTATCTTTTACTTTGCAATCGATTTCGACGCCTATCGTAGTTATATTTATGCGTGCATATACGCAGTGGCGATTTTTCAAACTATCTCACCTTATACACATAAAGTGTCTAACCCGACCTGGCAGATAAGTGTCCTCGAGCATGTAACTCTGAATTATGAGCGGCCCGGTCCGCTCAGTTCGCCGTTTACGTCGGTGGACCGCGATGTCCAGAATTTACTCACTACATCGTGGTTAAGTGATAAAGCACTACGTATGTACGGCCGCAAACACGCGAACGATACCGCAAAAACGGCAAAAAGAACTTCATTGAGACAGCGAGGATCCATATATTCTCCTACAAATAACGGTGACTTAGACCGTTGAAGATGTTATTATACTGCTTATTGCTCCAATTTTTGAGAACTCAAAATTAATATATCTAACAATAAGTTTGTTACTTACCAGGATACATATTACGATCAACATATAATAGCAATTGCATCGATAAAGATAAAGATGTTTCATTTTATTCATTTTAATGTATAAATTCTGATTAATTTTTGTATTATTAAAATAATGATTAGCATTAAAGAAAAGAGTATATTTCCCTTTGATCTTTGTTATATTAGTGTGTGTGTATGTAAAGTTAATATATCATTTCGTGGAAGATCATAAATAGATAAAAGTACTGATTTTATTTTCAATAGTTTTTAATAGTTTTTAATAGTTATTATAGTGCTTATTGCTCCGATTTTAAAGAAATAAAAATTAATGTATCTAACAATAAATTGTTACTTATGAAGATGCACGAACAATATTAGAATCAACATAATAGCCATTGCATCGATAAAGATAAAGATATTTAATTTTCTTCATTTTTTAGTGTATAAACGCTGATTAATTGTCTTTAATTTTTTTATTATAAAATAATAATTAACAATAAAGAAAAAATGCATTTCCCTTTTAGCCTTGTTATATTAATGTGTGCATGGGCGTCCGCAGAGAAGGGGAAGAGGGGGTATTTGCCCCTTTTAGGAATCAGTAAAAAAATTAAGCATTTACTCTCTTTGTGAATAAACACTGGAATTTATCTGCAATTATATTATAAAATAAAATAATTAAATAATTAAAATAAAAAAATAATTAAAAAATTGAATTTAAAAAATGAAGAAAAAATAATATAATAGGAAGTAAAAAAAAATTTAATCATGCCTCTCCCTGGAAAAAATTCCTGCGGACGCCCATGGATGTGTGTGTAATGTGAAGCTAACATATCATTTCGTGGACGATCATAAATAGATGGAAGTTCTGATTTTATTTTCACTAGTTTTTAATCGTTTAATCAAATAGGTTTGGCGATTAAACAAAAAATTCTTTAATTATTTATAAGTTTCCACGAAATAAGACGCTTCACGCATTCCTACTACATAAATATTATAGAATAAATAATTTCTCACTCACCGATACCTGCAAAGCGGAGAATACAACACACATTGATCTGAAAATAAAATATTCAAATTATGTATATACATCTGTGCATATATAGGTACAGGATGTCGGACATCAGGTGTCACACCGAAAATATACAAGTAGATCTCGTTATTTGGAGACAATTTTTCCTCAGCAAAAATATTGAGGCATCAATAATTTTCGAGCTAAAGCGATTAAAAATAAGAGATTTTTCGCAAACTAAGGAACACGCCTTGTGGAAATAAAATATTAACAAAACCACATTCTTCAATTAATTTCAAGTAGAGTTTACTTTAATAAAATTTTAATTTAAGTTTTAGTTATACATGATGGCAAAAATTGGGAACATGCAAAAAATAATGAGGCCTTCCTCGACATTTTTGCTGAGGAAAAATCGTCTCCAAATAATGAGATCGACTTGTATATTTTCGAAATGACATTTGATGTCAGACACCTTATATATACATATATATATAATAATATACACAGAGTGTTTAAAAATCTAGATCGAATATCTCATAAAAAGAATGCTGTTTAGAAAAAATATTATTTTCCACACCTTATAGTTGCCCCGCTGTCGTCCGATGAATCTTCGGGTCTCCATCTCGTCTCTTGGTCCTTCACAGCACTCACGACACTCGCGAAAACATGAATAATTACGATCGTCCAACACTTTATACGGCACTCCCGACACGACGCGTGAGTCGCAATGCTACCTGTAACAAATAAAATATACACATATATTCGAATAATCTTTATTATTTCGCATATGCAATATAAATATGTAAGTTATAATTAAATTTTGCGCGTACGAAAACAGATTAGATTGTGTTATGTTGGCAAGAGATTTTGCATTGCATTTTTTTTTTGCGAAATATGCGTTTCGAGGAATTACGACGATATATGAACATTAAAATTATATTAGGCGATTGATAAATATTACTATACAATACATTAGAAATGATTATGCTTGCTAATTAATCACGCAGGACGAACCACCTGATACTCGCGGCGTTTCGGTAATGGCCAAAGTTATTCGCTATTTTACAAACATTGGCAACTTCATTCTAATATAGCGCGCGCGATATATTTTATACAGGACTTAATGTTAATAATAAATTAAAACTTGAAACTCGCAGGCGAATCGTTCGAAAAGATAGCTGTAGAATAAGTATAATTTTCGAAAATCGACGTCTCATCTCAATATATAGATATCCGATTCTGTTTATTTTAGCTTAATTTTTTCTTTTGCTTTTAGAAAGCACAACTCTTTTTAGAACTCATGTAAAACTATAAATCGTTTTAATCTTGATAATTATTGATAAGCAAAATGTCGCAGGACAAAGTGATATACTGTGTGAAGTCAGCATATCAATTTGTCCTTAGGTATTTCTTATCAATAATTAATAATCGTCGCAGAACTATTTGTTTAAACCACCCTCAGAAGAATTATTGAAAATAAAGCCAGAGCTCTCAATTATTTATGATCTTCTATTAAATAATATGCTAACTTCACACACACGCATATACTTCGTAACTTCTAATAATGTCAAAATATTAATTTTTGTTAATCTGACTTTCTAAAGTAAGAAATTAATTAATGACAATAAATTATTAACTGCGTTGTATAGGGTAATAGTAACTTCTTTTTCTCTGAAATTTACCGAACAAAGAACTACCTTATCCACTTTTCTGTGTATTTCCGCTTTTCTGTTAATTTTGCCGCTCATCAGCAACTTCCTCTCTGCACCTGTACACCTACTTTTTTCTCTCCTAATTTTTTTGTGCGAGATAAAAACAAACTATTTACCTATAGTGCACATCCTTGCATTAATTTAAGTATATTAAAAATTAGATTTAGTTCAATATTTTCTTATATATATTTAAAATAGTTTTTCGAATTAAATATAAATGTTTATAAAGTCGGCGTCTACTTATCGAACTTGTTTGTAATAATTTATTAATAATCTATTTGTTTATTAGCTGTTTTATATGCTATGCTCATTTGCTGCATTGTAAATTGATTTTTATTCTTTCATAAAAATTTCTCGAAATATGATAAATTTCTTTGTCTTGTTCTATCTATTAATTTACTATCTGTTTTGTTTTTTCAAGTTTCTTCCTCTTCTCTGTCGTCGAGTAATCGCAAGATAAGTTTGTAACTTTAATTGAACTATCGCATTCAAGCGTTTTCACGGCCGCAGTCTGTTGCGGTTAGTCGAATTATACGGATGGTTAATTTGCCGACAAAACTCGACTTTGAGTCCAACCAACATAGCTTGAAGCAATTCAGTCCTTGCTCTCTTGTATAATACCACGATGCAAATAACGTGTATCATGAGCATTTGTTAAGCGAAAAAATAGATTTTTTAATCCCACATTCTCCTCGACATAATTTGTTTATCCGATATAAACAAAGAATAATAATAAGAAATAAATTTCAGTCTGAAAAACGGAAGACTACAAATATAAATCAAAATATAAAAAGCGGCTCCTTGAAATTTAAACAAGTATTTATTGTTGGGCTAAAGGAGCTTAAATAAATTTAATTTATTTAAGCTCCTTTAGCCCAACAATAAATACTTATTACAAATATAAAGTTTTTGAAAAAAAATTGTAATAGAAAAATTTAAAATTATGGATGTATATATATTTTCCAAAATTATTTATAAACAAGCAAACATAATGAATTCAGTCGTTTAAAATACAATTTTCATATAATAATATAAAAATCTGTTATGTAATTTTTAAACAATTTTAATACGTTACGAAATATCAAAGTATCGAAAATAATTTTAAAACATAATATTGGAAAATATTGAAACACGCCGAATTTAGTCAACGTTTAATATAACAGTTTTTTCTGACCGATATTAATTACGCAATATTTTTATATAACCGCATGTGTACAATACCTGCTCGTTTCAAAATCGTATCAAATGTTAATATTAATTGAGTTGCCCCACACTCTAGTATACAATATGTTCCGCTATTCGTCGCTTATCGCGATTCAGTGATTATACAAAATGATTAAAATTTTTCTACGTGCTTATTTTTCATATATATATATATATATATATATTAATATTTAGACAAGATTTCGATTTATAATATAATTTTCGACTAAATACACATTAATAACGTTATTGACAGGTGATTCCACGCAATTAGATTTGGATGGCTTGTTATATATCGGTGGTGTGGGTGCACCATTCGCGCCCTTAACAGTTCCGCCCGTTCTATGGACAGGCGCCCTTCGACAAGGCTACGTGGGTTGCATGAGAGACCTCGTTATTAATGGACATCCGGTAGATATCGCAGGATATGCGCAACAACAGGATTCCGGTAAGAAATTTCAATTTATTATTCATGAAATGATAGAATTGCATATCCAAACTAATTAAAATTATCTCCATGTAATAAAATCTCCATATAAGAATAATAATTCGTAAAATGATTGCAAAAAGGTAAGACAAAAAATATATATGTGATCACAATTCTAAATTGACATATAACACGATAAACTTGCTGTATATGTGCCAATTATTACATACAATCTCAATTAGAACACGTGATAAATTTTTATAAAATAATATTTAATTTAGCATAATATTTTGATGAAGAATTGTAGATATCTCTAGAATAACGTAATAAAACAATCACATTGTCGTTAACGATTGTTGGAACAAAATATTTTTTATCCTGCATGATATAACCATGTTTGTTAACTATTTATTAACAAAAACAGCCTGCGGCATATAATATTGATATTTATACAAAAGAAGCGAATTTATTGTTTTTCGAAGCTGTAAACAAAAATAATAACGCTGCGGACAGGATTCGAACCTGTGCGGGCATAGCCATCAGATTTCGAGTCTGACTCCTTAACCACTCGGACACCGCAGCTTGCAGGTGCTCCCTCTTATCTCAACTAACTTCTTGCACAGTTCACCCAACCAGAAAAAGAATTGAACTTTAGATTTTTTAAATTGTAAATAAACATTTATGTAAAAAAAATAATCGATTTAAATTTAAAAAATTTTATTCAATAAAAAAATAAATAACGTTATGAAATGTAAACAAAAATAAGGAAACGCTATTTAAATGTCAGTGGCAGAAAATGGTTAAAAAATTATAATTTATATTCGGATTCTTTTTACTTGAAAATTTTTAAATGAAAAATCCGGATATAAATTATAAATTTTTGATAATTTTCTGTTATTGACATTTAAATGTATTTTCTTTCATTTGACTACAAATATACAATTATTGACAATTAATAATAATTTATATTTAGATTAATATATTATAGATCATTTAATCAAACTGTTAATAATGGCATTATAATAATGATGATTATGATAACAGTTAGTTATTTCACTTTTTTGCATGAATCAGACAATAAATGATCGAATTTTGCGATTTATGCATTCACAGGTGCAGTGAGACCCGCATGTCACACTCAACCCGCGCATTGCCCTTCGCAACCGTGTATGCATGGTGGCCATTGTCTCGAAGGGTGGAATCGATTTCACTGTGATTGTACCGGCACACCTTACACAGGACCCACTTGTGGCAAAGGTAATCATTTTTACTTAAGTAGATATATACGAATTACTTTTACGTAGAGTTACAAACTGAAAAAAAAAGATTTGTTAATTTGACTATAAACCATTCAACTAAATACTATATTTCGTTAATTGAACATATATTCATATTTAAGTCAAATATACGTTTTGTTAATTTTATATATTATATTTAATTTAAATATTTTTGTGTTCAATTAAAAAAATAATATTTAGTTGAAAATTTTAGTTAAGTTAACAAATTTTTTCAGTGCAGGTAGCTCTTTTTCAAGACGCATTAACATCGTTACATTTAAACCGAGGGATAATCTAATATTCTTTATTATATGTTCTAAATATTCTATATTATAAGAGAATAAAATATATTCACTTTAAACTTTACTTGATATAATCATCAATTAAATATTTTTTTAAAAATGATCCAACATATCTCTCAAAAAATTTGAACTTTATATTTTTTATAAATAATATATTATTATACACTTATCGCAGATGCATCGACACTGCATTTAAATGGTACGCAACAAATGACGGCATTGATGCCGGAAGAGTCCAGGACACAAGCGGAGGAAGTCATCATACGCTTTAAGACAACAAAACACGTGGGTCTTCTACTAGCGACAAGTTTAGAGAACAGCGCCGATCGTTTACAGATTTATTTAGATGAGGGCAAAGCACAGATGCTAATTCACGTCGGAGATCGAGAAAAGGTAAGTTACGAAATATTCACATCTCGTTAAATTCAACGATAGTTAATCAAATTAACGGAACAGATAAACATTTATATTTCACCTCAGAATAACAATGTAAAATATGAAATAGAATGTTTAATAAGCATCATTAAATGTGAAAAGGTTTCGAAAATAATTTCGATTGAGAATTTTTTTAATTAATTATTTTTTTAATTTTCTTACATTTTTCGATTTTATTTTTTTAATAATATTATATATATATATATATATATATATATATATATATATATAAATGCAATGTCCTTTGTTAAACGCTATTTAAACAAACATTATTGCAAATAAAGATGCGTTGTCGTGAAAGGGCAAGATATTGGATTTAAGCTCGGACAAATTCGATTCACTTAATGTCAACGAGCACCCGCTCAGAAGTTAAAGGACCGCGTAGTTCGCGAAGATTTACATTCCTGCGAGAAGCATCTTCGACGTCGCTCTAGTATAGTCGACGTAGATCGTTCCCTCGTCGTTGCGAACGACGTCATGACATTAACTTAATACGTCACTCGCAGGAACATCCGCCAAGTAAATGGCTGGCGGCTCTCGTCTCGTCTTCATGTAACGGAATATTCTTTCCGACGGAAACGTTGTACGTGTAAAGCGTATTCTCGACAATTACTTCCGAAACATCAGATAAATATTTATTTTGTTACATTAACTCTTTCAACTTTATTTCAGTTTTGAAGTATATAAAAAAAAAGATAAATTTTAAGATGTACCTAACATAAAAATTTCAAGTATCTTCGATAATAATTATAAGCATCATAACATTAGTTATTTGTAAACGTCTTTGTTGAAATTTTTATCTTTACAGGATATTTTATCTCATAAAACTATAATGGATCTCTGCGAAATCGTTGATCAGATTTAATCATGATAGTAATCTATTTTTCAGATTATAAGTCTATGTGATATATGTGTTATTTTCACATAAGAGGGTAACAAATCTTGAATTAATTAAGAATCGATAAGAATGCTATTCTCCAAGGTCGCAAAGAGCGTTTCTGTGCTGCTCCATCGATCGTTTTCCCGGGAGCCAAATGCATTTCTGAATGCATCTCGCAACCCCTCGTTCACGCAATCCCCGACACCATCCCTCCCTTCTGTCACCTACATTCGCACGTGGAAATACATAAGCAATTCTGCAATCGCAACGTTTCCGGTCGAATGAATAGTAAATCGTTCGATTCGATTTCGTAGCTATCTCATTAGATGGTGCGTGAATGTACATTTTGTCCTCTTTTTTTGCATCAGTATTTCCGAATATATATTTAAACGTCCGCAAAAGTGTTTTAACTTTTTTCTTTAATAAGTAAATATAATCATAAACATTTAAAAAATACTTAAAAATAAAATGATAATAAACGATTTTCAATTATGTATGCATCTACACATTATATTATAGATGCGATTAATATAAGAAAATTTGTATACATTTTAATTATGATCTCATTATTTAAGATGCACTTAAAATCGTGGATATATAATTCATTCCCGAATTATAATCGTCTAAGATAAACTTTAAGTATAATTATAGTTACAGAAAGCATTAATCCGTTATGCGCGTTGCATTCTTGTCATATTAAACTCTCAGATATTGCATTAAGCGGCAGTGGCAACCTGAATTAACAATCTTGGAACTTGGTCGAAATCACTTGGAACTCTCGAATGAGTAACCATATGTATACGTGCACGCATATAAGCATGAATGTACAAGGTGCGCGATAATTTACGGTAATGTTTCAATCTCTGTACCTACACGGACTTGTTAATTGAGCGGAATAATTAATACGATAATGTGGCAAGCTCGATAATTAGTCTACGGAAAACCGGATTTCCGCGAAATTCCTATGAAATTCAAGATATATTTCAATGCAAATTTCGATTGTACTTGCTTCTATAATTTGTATTGACCGCGTCGAAGATTATTCACGTAATTTTCGATAATTTAGTTTAACTATTGCGAGAAAAAATGGTCATAAAGATAATATTCAAGTAATTTTAATTTCGATAAAAATATAAAGAAAAGAGATTTTCCAATATTTTTAATTTAAAACTTCGTATTCCTCTTAAGATAAATAATGCATAGTACTTTTAGAATAGTTTTATAATAATTATTAATATTTTTTTCAAAATTCTTATATGAGAAAGAGAAAGTTTTCTATCAATATTTTCACGTGTATTTTGCATTTTATATATCGTAATATTACATTCCATATTAAATATATATTAAAACCTTGATTAAAACTATCTAATTTTAAAAAATTTGGAAAAAAGTATAAAAAATAGTTTTATAAAATTAATGTTTAATTTGTTAAGTACAATAAAAATTAAATCAATTATTTTTAAATTTATATATTGAGTACAGGAAACAATTTATTGTTTACGCCGGTTTACGCAAATTGTAAGATAGCCGCAATCGATATTTGCAATAATAATATTCAATCCGGCAATAGCAGCGATGCATAGATGACGTTAGATGACAAACGCGTGTCAGGTGCTACACGACGCATGATATCGTATGTTGCAATGGGAACTGTGTCAGATAGTGACGAGTTGCTTGGATTTATGGGACTTGGTCGAATGACAGACATCTCATAGAGATGGTTTATCGATAGCTTTAAAGCTATTGTGACACGTTGATGACATTGTTGTTATAAAATTTGCGATAAAATTTCGAGACCTTAATGCAAATATATCTACTGATTTCATTTTCGCGTTCAAACTTTTAATAAAATAAAATAAAAAATGGTAGTAATTCAATCGACCAACTCTGGCAAATAAGTATTTTTATTGAATATTCCAACGTTTCGGCCCTTTATCAAGTGCTATAATATAATATTAACAATTATTAGAAAAATTAAAATAAAAATAATAAAATATATAGAAACTTTCACACGTTAATACGCAAACATTAAAATAAAATTAATTTTTTTTTGAAAATTAAACTTTCTTTGGAAATGTACAATCACTTTAAATATTTTCTCTTCAAATCAGAATTTTCCGAGTTGTTGATTTGTCATGCATGACTTTAAACTCTTGCCTTTATATAATATTTATAATTATTATAAATGTTTATCACAGCCAATATCCTGCGATAAACTGAATCGATACTTTTCAATTTCAGTTAATGATAGCTGGGCAGGGTCTCAATGATGACATGTGGCATACACTGAGATTTTCCAGGCGGTCTAATTCCCTCAAATTCCAAGTCGATGACGAAGCAGCGATACGAGGTATGTTTAAAATTATATTACATAGATAAAAATTATTATAACTGCTAAATGTTTTCTTACTTTCTTATAACAATATTTATTAGCAATTACTCTTTATTCGATAGTTAGTTTTTATTCAAGATGTTTTTTTTTTAATTTGACATCTTCATTGATTATTTTAAACGCTTGTAATTAAATATTTTGTGTCTGCAAACCGTTCTTGTTGAATAAGTTATAATGTGTTTTTAAATAATTAAATGTACCATGCAAAATATTGAACCGACAATAATCAAATGAAAAGGAAATTAAATAAAAAAGAAAATTAAATAAAGGAAAATACCAGTTAATTTATACGCGAACTACATTATTAACTTGACGGAAATAAAATGCTATTGGACGTGTAAAGTGCAGCAAATTGTATGTCGGTACCAGATGCAAAACAGTTGATTGGTTTTGTGCAGCAGCGATGCAAGTGGCGTCATCGATCGCAAAGTATAAGGAACATTGAGGGAAAAAAGCAAATCTATTTCAGGATGTCAAGGAGAAAGAAAGAGAGAGAGAGAGAGAGAGAGAGAGAGAGAAAATATATGTATATGCCAAAAGCACACATCCATCTCTTATTGCATTCAAAAAATCATTATGTTAGATGCTAAGATGGAGAACGAGAAATATATTAGTTTTGATAGTTTTGATTTTTTTATTTATTTATATCCTTAAATATTTCTATTGGTTGATATTCTGAGGTGGCGTAGAGTTTAAAACTCGCATTAGATGACTTATAATTCACGACACGCAAGTTTGAAGACAAAATTTTATTTATAATTTTATACGTCACTAATATTATAATATGCTGTATATGTATTGATATATTTCTTTTATGTGTATTTTATTTATTCAAATGTGTTTCTTATATTACATGACACACGCAAAATTATAAATAATATTTCGTCTCAAATTGCAAAATAGATTGCCTCAATTTTTTTCGAAATATTAAAAACAATAAATTATTTTTTTCTCTCAGAAGAATGACAAATGCCATTATGTATAAAATAACCGCAGCAGTGACAGCGATAAATCGATTAAAAAATGACTCTCTTATGTGCACGTTTAGAATATCGATACTTTGCTCTTACCGTAATCAATAGACCTTTTTCCCATGCTAAAGCTTTTATGCGCGCCTTAAAATTGCACCATAATTAAACCTGAATTCGTAATGTGCGTAAAAGCGAACGATGCTTCGAGAAAATTAGAATGAGGTTTCTATACTATAATATTATCTTCTCGCAGAGTGATATTTTATTGATCCTTTGAAAAAAAATGTCTCCATTGTTTAGAAACAACAAATGATATAAACGTTAAGTAGAGCTCATACTTTTCCTCTTATTTGCTCCAAAATATTGTAAAAAATGTATTTATTCTGGAAGATAAAGTTTTAACTCTTTCACAAGGAAGTTTTGCGTTACATTTGCAGTGGAAATACATAAAATCTTAATAGTTTAATTATTGATATAGATAATGTGATAATATCTTCATTTTTAGATCGTGTTTTTACTATGCACAGATATGCAAATGTGCTTTTACTTTAAAATAATTGCATTTTATCTTCTTCGATAAATAAATATAATAAAGTTAACAGTAAATTAATAAAATATAATAATGTATTATGAGAGTAAATATTAATTAGGCGCTACAATGCAATTGAAGAATTCAAAATTATAAATAAATGTTTTGTAAAAACTCATCAATATTGTAGCTATAGTAGATTGTAATCGTAATATCCGGAAATCCTATTGATAGATTGTAATCGTATCCTATTATCCGGATATCCTATTGATAGAAAATCCTATAAAAAATATAAAAAATTCTTAGAAAATTATACATTAATATCACACATAAATATCGGCGATCTTAAATAAATCGTATAAATTTTGCGTAATGTTTCGTGTAATACAAATATAATTTATTAAAAATTTTAAATGACACAATTATATAGTAAATTCTGCATTTGATAATATAATCCGTGAAAGTATATAAAAAAACAATCACGAGAGGTACATTATTTTAATTAAATAAAAAATAATCACAATATAATAATAACTGATTGTGAGACGATAAATGAATCTACCTGTGTCGATGTTTCTTCGTCACCCGATAGTTCGCCATCATCGTGATGCATGTACACACAGACGCGCGGATTCAAATTGATCGCGGAAAAACGCGATTAATAACCTAACCCCGTCTATTGAATAACGCGAACCCGAGACACTCGTCAATTTATATGACACACTTCCGATACATTTTTAATAAAGAACGACGATATTCGCTCGCCATTTGACCCGGCAGTCCACGATATAATATTCACTCGATATACGAAAGATTCAGAGTTGTGTGTCATTATTAGACTCTAATTAACGCGACACAAATTCGCGACACGTCGCCCGCCACTTTGTACGGCACTCCCGACGTATCTCGAGTCAATAAATAAACACGAAACGCCGCGTTAATTGCGCACACGACCTTTTCCTTCGTTGATCAACGACGTTTCCGCGGGAAATTCGTAAATTACGGAACGCGGCAACTTCACGCCGATGCGACATTAAAATATTAAAGTAGCACGTCGCTTCGCTCATCGATCGTCGTGTGCGTGATCGCGAGTGTCGCGAAATCCTTCGAAGAATCCTACTACGCGTATGTCACGATATTAATATTGTGTATCGTATTTAAATCCGTGCTCTTAATAAGACGAGCAAGCAAGATTCTCCGCGATGACGTAGGCAACCCCTCAAGCGTCACGTGACCAATTCGAACCGGAGTGTTGTTGCATAGTGTCAGGCGTCCTCGCAGGTACTGTCGAAAAGATTTTTATTATTTTGTGTATTTCGTACTTCGATTCGAATAACATCGCGTAGTAAATTCACCGTAATGACACTGCATTATTCTCGGCAAGGAAAATTTAGTTTATTCTATACTTTTAACAACAAAAGATTAAAGTATTTATTATATCAAAGCATAGCGTCAAGTGAGTTCATAAAATACTTATATAAAATTTTATTAAAAAAAATTTCTTAAAAAATGTGTAGATTCCAAGAATTGGTAATATAGGAAAATAGAGAGTATATTAATTAAAATATTAATTGTTGTTATAAAATAATGAACTATATAATTCTATTCTTTAAATGCAAATTATTAAATTATTTTTTGTGCATCAAACACAATATTATATTTATAAGAATATTTATATGTATATTGTTGATAATATTTGGCATTGATTATTAATCGATTTATAATTGTTTTAAAATACATTATTGTCTCATTGTGATCGAAATATTGGTTTAAGCATGAATAAATTAATGCAATCGTAAAAGCCTAAACAAATTACACGGATGCATAATAAGCATAATAATCTAAAAATATATCATTTCTAATTAAATGTCTATTTCTGAATAAATTATGATTTCTATTTTTACTTGTTTTAATACAAAAGCTATCACTGAAAAAAATGTGTTAACTTTTGACTAAACCTTTCAACTAAGTATTATTATGTTACTGAACATATAAAAATATTTAAATTAAATATAACATATTAAATCTAACAAAACATATATTTGACTTAAATACCAATATATGTTCAATTAACAAAATAATCATTCTTCAGTTGAAAAGTTTAGTCAAAAGTTAACAATTTTTTTTCAGTGTAAAATTGAATGTTTTGCTATCTTTACATAAGGAATCCATAATTGTCTAAAAAAATATATAATTCAAAAGAAATATAATTAATAAAAATAAATTAATTTTTCGATTGACGATTTTCGATTGAAGTTAGAAAAAGAAGATTATTATACAAAAAGATATGATAATATTTTTTCAATAATAAATCCTATAATGTATTTTATACGTGTTTCGAGGAGAGCAATTTTCCTCTCGTAATGTTTTTCGTGATGCAGAAGCGTTTTGCACGTCGCATCGATTGTATCGGTTAAAGGGTCCGTATACATCGTATACATGTGCACGTTCGAGCTTCTCGCTATACAAGGCGAAAGACCGCGCAAGGGAGCAATATCATATTTCAAAATCCCTATTTAGCATAAATATCTGGCCACAGCCTCGGAAATTTTGCGGCGAAAGTCGAAGTAAGAGAGAAGTTAAGTGGAAATACATAAAGATACGAAGAGAGAACGCGGAAAAATATTAAAAAATAAAGACAAAGGTAGAGATTCACGTTTAAAACAGTGTTTTGTACTCTCATACATGTTATTAATTATCGAGTAACACTGCGTACAGGAATATTGAATGCAGGAAAAGATGTTGATAATTAATTAGAGTATACATATAATATATAAATAAATAGTGCTTACTCCAAGATTGCTTCGCCGTCTGCTGATGCCTCGGGGCTTCAATTCTTTTCTTCTTCGTCTTTTATTATACTTTTATGACATTCGCACGAAAATAATCACTCGAAAAATATCATTAAGCGTTAATCGCGCGATATCTATTTTGCATGACACTCTTGACGTTGATAGTACGCGACATGCGTTTTATTACAATATATTGCAATGAGAGACGAACACATAAATTGCATCAAATGCATACTACGATGCATAAAACTACTACTATTTTTAACGTTCAAAATTCAAGCATCATCCAACGTAGAACAATACAAACAACAAATAAAACGTGATATAGAGTCGAATTATTCGTATCTCTTTTTTCTTTTATTCGTACGGACAAGTGATAATTCAATCTAATTTGTAATTATCATATTCCTCCGCATTTTTTTCAATCTCATAAATATAGGCAAATTATAATTGAATCGAGCGAAAATTTCGGAATCCCGGCAATATATCAAGTGTTGTTAAGGAAACAATTTGTTATCCATAAATATTAAAATATAAAATGATTACTTATAAAATTTTTATTTTTGTCGCTTTGATTTTTAAATCACACGAATGATTTACTTTGATAAATAATCGCATATGTTTGCGAATCATTAGTTGTTAATTATAGTAATTGCACGAAATTAT